TAAACAATTGAATATTACTTACTTTTTGGCATTTGCAGCTTCTCAATAAGTTAACCAATTTTTTTTTTCTCTTGTCAAGTTTATGGAATTCATGGATCATACTTCCTGCCTCTATCTTATAACTAATTTCTGCTGTCATTGTTCCTGTAAATAGTTCATAACTTCAAAGAATCTCAGAGTTAAAAGAATGTTTTAAGATTCTAAGTGCTCTGTTAATCTCTTCTGAACAAAAGGATGAAAGCTTAGTTCCTCTAAGGGTCACTCATTTCACTTTTTAGTATCTGTTAGAAAATTTTTAATTCTGATTTAAAATGTATAAACCATAATATCTACCAATTAATTACTTTTCAAACCACCTCATGGATTTCCAAAGAAAAGTTTCATTATTCTTTATGATATAGCCCTTTTATTATTTTACACCACTATAAAATCAGAGGAAAGTGGCAAGGTATTTCACAGTTTTCCAATCACCTCATGTTATCTACTCTTCTTAAACCTTCTTTTGTTTTCAATTAATTTATACTTTGAAAGCACAGTCCCGTAATTCTGCTTGTTTCTTTACATTTTCATCCCCAGAGGATAAATCCTGTTTGTAATCTGTTTGACTAATTTGAACACCAGTCTGAATCTTATATCCAAATAGCAATTGTCTATCTTACCTTCTTTTATGCAACACTCTCAATCTAAAAAAAAACCCTACCACTATAAAAACACCTTGAGTAAGTTGAGCCTCAATTTTCATTCTCCATTAAAACCAAGCCCACTGTCATTTACTCAATTACGACTTAAAAAGTCACTTTGATTCTTTCTTTCATTTGCCTCCAATTTTGATAATGATGCTCCCAATTTCCCAGCTGCCTAACGTGAAAACCTGAGATCCACAGTTCTTGCGTATTGTTTTCCTCTACATTAAACAGATTGAGTCATTTTAATTCTTTCTCTGAAATGAAGTCTTCATTACCTTATGCTTACATCACTGTTCTCATGGCTTCCTAAATGCTGTTTCTAGTCTTTTACAACCACTCACTTCCCAATGTCTATACATAATATAAAATTTCTCAATCTGATTTGATTTTTAAGTCTTCCAATTAGCTCCACTCTCAAGAATCCAATAGAATTTCTTTTAAACTTGCCCTACATGGTTCTTGAAATGTACTTTATATCTTTTTCAACTTAAACGGAACATAACTCAGAAAGGTGAAAGAAATGCAAACTCACAGTATAATGAATAATACAAACTGAACCCTTGAGGATCACTGCTGGCACCACAGAAGTCATTTCATTCTCTCATGTGACCTACCCTCCCTGATCTTTCCCTTGCCCTTTCACTGCCCCCTTGCAATAACCACGAATGTTTATAGCATCGTGATAGACAGTGAAGAGATTAAGAGCTTCAGTTTGTTTGGCTCCACAATCAACACTCTTCATACCAACAGCCAGGAAATAAAAAGTTGAATTGCATTGGGCAAGTCTGCTATCAGGGACCTCTCCAGAGGTTAAAGAGCAACAATGCCAGTCTGGAGACTAAGGTGCACCTGATCCAGGCCATGGTTCTTGCAATTACTTGCTATGCATCAGAAAGCTAGATGACTAGGGATGACAGAAGAATTGATGCCTTTGAGCTGTGGCACTGGAAAAAAGTATTGAATATTCAATATACCACTGGTGACTAAGAGAACAAACAAGTCCATCGTGGAGAAGGTGAAATCAGGCTGCTCCTTGGAGGCAAGGATTCTGAAGCTTCGTCTTGACATATTTTGGGCATGTTGCAAGGAGGGACCAGTCCTTGGAGATGGACATCACGCTTGGGAAGGTGGAGGGCAGTGCAAGAGAAGAAGACCCTTGATGAGATGGATTGACTTAGTGGCTGGGGTAATGAGGACAGGTGTGTTAAAGATGATGAATTTGGCTCAGGATAGAGCAGAGTTTAGGGCTGTTGTACACAGGGTCACTATGAGTCACAAGTGACTCAATGGCACAGGACACAAAAGCAAGTTATCACCATGATTACTGGCTTTTCATACTGGAGCTCTGGCAGCCAAGTCTGCAGAGAGCTGTACCGCTAACCCAAAGGCTTACCTTCTCTAATGGTTTGAATCAACAAGTAGGTCCTTGGGAGCAAGACGAACAGTCTCCTCTTGTGTGATTTAGGACCTCAGAAATCCAATGGGGGCTGGCTATCAGTTGTTCTGACTCAATAGCAATGAATGAGTCAGTTAAGGAGCTGCTGCCAATTCCAACATGGTGTCCCCATATGTATACATCCATGCATTCTTAACTAGCAAATTTTAGTTTTGTCCAGTTTGATTTACACTTTACCTATTCGTTTGTCAACAGTTTTTAAGGTTTATTCAAGTTGTTGTGTATTTTTAGGTTTTTTAAATTGTTCTATTCCAGGGCATCTCAAACTTGGTACTGTTGACATTCTGTCTAGTTCTCTGTTGTGGGGAGGGGATATCCAGCAAATCACAGCTTCTTTAGCAGCATTCCTAACCTCTACTTATACAGTGCTAAAACTGCCTTACCTTGTGATGTAACAACCAAAAATGTCTACGTTGCTCAATGTTCCCTGGAAGGCAAAATCAGCCCTAATTGAGAATCATTCTCTAATTGACTTGCATTATTTGTTCAGTGCTCCATTATATGAATAGTATAATGTACAGAAGTACTAGAGTGTTGAAAATGATCCCCAGCTGACCATCCACGAGGTTTTCAGAGAAAGTAAATCACAAGGAAGGAGACTGCTCATCTTTCTCCCATGGAGCAGCTCAATGCCTTTTGGTTGGTAGCACAACTTCCGACCAGCAGTCCACCAGAGGTCCCTATTGTAAGAATACAGCATCGTTATCTTTCCAGTTGTCTAATAGTAACGCCTTTCAGATTCTCTTATGTAAGTCTGCTGAGGTCCATGCACTTCTCTAGAAGGGGAACTGCAGGGTCATTCAGTATGCACATCTCTAATAACATACGTTAGTGTGAAGACTTTTTCCAAAGTAGTTGTACAATATGAGTTCACAGTGTTATAGCCTTTCTGATGACAGCATTACTTACAAAAATATAAGATACAAAAACAGGTGTGGAGATTTTCTATCTCCCAACCAATGTGTTGTTGTTGTTGTTTTGTGCTGTCGAGTTGCTTGCGACTCATAGCGACCCTATGTACAACAGCCCTAAACTCTGCTCTGTCCTGCGCCAATCACACCATCTCCGATACATCCATCCCAATACTCTCAATACTACCTCAATACTCTTCTCCAGCACCACAGCTCAAAGACATCCATTCTCCTTCTATCCTCCGCGCTGATACATAACAAGTGATTGCAAAGACCATGGCCTGTATCAGACACACCTTAGTCTCCAGAGAGACAGCATTGCTCTTCAGTACTTTGGAGAGGTCCCTAACAGCAGACTTTCCCATGGCAATGCTCCTTTCCATTTCCTGGCTACTGGTGCCAAGAGTGTTGACTGTGGAGCCAAGCAAACTAAAGCTGTGAACAATCTCAATCTCTTCACCATCCATCCTGATGCTGTCAATTGGTCCAGTGGTGAGAATCTTTGTCTTCTTGACATTGAGCCTCAATCCATATTGGAGACTACAGTCCTTGACCCTCTGCAGCAAGCACTTCAGGTCCTCCTCACTTTCTGCAAGCAGGGTTGTGTCATCTGCATATCGCAGACTGTTGATATATCTTCCACCAATCTTGACCCCACATTCCTCCTCATAGAGCCCAGCCTCCCGGATCATCTGTTCTGCATACAGGTTGAAAAGGTATGTAGACAGGATACATCCCTGGCTCACGCCCTTCCCAATTTTGAACCATGCAGTGTTTCCTTGCTCTGTTCTGACGACTGCCTCTTGGTCCAAGTATAGGTTTCTCATTAGCATGATCAAGTGTTCTGGGATTCCCATTCTTCTGAGAATCAGCCAGTTTGTTATGATCCACATAGCCAAGATGGTCCCAACCAATGTAGTTATGCATTATTTTCCAATTGAGGCACACTCCTAGAGCTCTAGTGACATGGTTCTAGCCCTAGGCTACTAACCAAAAGGTAAACAATTGGAACCCACTAGCCACTCTGCAAGTGAAGGATGTGACAGTTGCTTTCATAAAAATGTACAGCCTTGGAAATCTTATGAGGTAGTTTCATTTGGTCTTATAGGGTCCCTATGAGTCTGACATAATCCCTTGGATGGTAGTGGGTGTTTCTTGAGGGAGACGCAGAGGGTTCCAGTGGGGTCAGCATATCCTTTCCTTCTTTTCAACGCTAATCACAGATATTTCTTCAAGTTCACCTCTCATTAGGAGGTTAACAGCATCAGTTTCTGGTTTTTTGTCCATTCTCTAAACTTTTGGAGTGTTTATGCCTTTATCACACATTTTATGGTTGATCACATACTTTCCCCAAACCGTAAGCTCTTACACAAGGCATATACTGCCTTTTTATTCTTTTGAGGTCCCTTTCTGGCCTAGCAAAGAGTCTAGATACAAACACCCAAAAGCCTGATATTGATACACTAAATGAATGGGGAAAAAAAACCACACAACAAGCTGCAACCTCTTCAATCTAAAAAGGAATGAAAAGTTAAGAAGCAGTGGATGTTTTGCCCATTTTGTTAGGTGCAGTAAAGAGCCAGAAACCAGCTAGGTATGTGAGCTTAAGCAAGTCATTTTTCTCGGAGCCTGTTTCACCGCTGCAACATTAAAAACGGATCATCGCTCCGATCAGCGCTAGAATTCGCCAAGAAAACGGTAAGTCATCAAACTGAGCTCGAGAATGAGACCAGGGTGGGTGGCAGGCCTACTGATGTCACCTGGCGCGCAAAAGAAGTGTCAGCTGAAACCTGTCCTTGGGGCGGGGACTACAAGAGATGGCCAAAGCGTGAGATCCTAAATAAAGCTATCGGGTCACACTGATCTGGGCAGCGCGCCTTCCAGAGAAGTCCCAGGGGCCAACTATGGGGCGAGGGAGTTGAGAGTTGCCGGCGCCCACTTGCTCACCCGGTTGGGATATTCCTTCTCCACGCAGTCCCCGCACATCGCGACGCCGTTCCTAGAGAACGTTTTCCAGCACTTCCGGGTAGACGAAACTTGCGAGATGTGGCTGGCGCATGCGCTCCAAGCACTCGACCTTCAGAAAGGGTGGTGGTGAGGGCTGGAACTGGGAACAGATTGGAAGTCTCCGCCCCCTAGCAACTGTTGTTAGGGAGGGCCGGGTCCCCGGGGCAACAACGGGAGTGAGGGAGTGGTTTGGGGAAACCTTGGGAGACTGGACTTTGTTGATGGGGCAGGAAGCGGAAGTTATCTTGAACCTAGGGAAGCCCTAATAGATACCTTTCAGATCTGAATTACAATATTCAAGAAAGAGAATTGTCTTTTTCTGCTCGTTTGCATATAAAATCGAACCAATAATTTAAGTACTTTTCTGTATCATTTCTTAGGGGAATTAAGGTAATAAGAGATTAAAACGTAACAAAGTGTTTGGTGGGAAGAACCCAAAACTAACTTCTGTTGAGTCTGTTTGAACTCTTGGTCAGGTTTCTGCACCCGAAACATCTTTTCTTCTTCTTCTCATTTTCATTAGTTTATTTACTAAATTCTAATACAGATTCAAACAAATTCATTCCATTTCCCTCACCCCCTCCCCCATCAAATTGTACAACCGAGTGATTAATAATCCCTTCTTCCCCCTATACATCCACATTCCTCTGCTTCCAGCCTCTCCCACCCCTCCTGGATCCTTATACTCATTCTACAATATTATACACTATTTAACCTTGTGGGACTAAATTCACTCAGCATAATGCTCTCCAGTCCCTCCCAAATTAGGTAATAATTTACAAAGTTATTGTTCCATTGTGTGAATGTATCATAATTTCTCAATCCATTCGTTTGTGGTTGGACATTTTGGGCTGTTTCCATGTTCTTGCGATAGTGAATAATGCTGCTATGAACATTAGTGTACAAATCTCCGTTTGTGTCTCAATTCTCATATTCTCAGGGTATATTCCAAGTAGTGGAATAGCTGGGTCATATGAAATGTCTATATTCAGCTTTTTGAGGAAACACCAAACTGCCTTCCATAACATCTTAACGATAAGAATCTGCATACTTTTACTCCTGCAAACTTTGAACTGTAGACCTTTCAATTAGCCCAACACTTAAGCGACCAACCCCTCAGGGCTTCTCGGAGATACTTCTAAATTTTCAGAGAAGCTCCTTCAAAGAACTTTTGAATTGTTAACATACCAAAGTCAATTGAAGAAAGAACAAAGCGTTGTTAAAATGTGTTTCTTTTTCTCTTTATTACAAATAATCACCTTAGTAATAGGCAGGTACCAAGCAAACAGAAAAGGGCCAATTATCTTTGACTAGGTGCACCTATTGGGAAAGATTACACCTCCACATGAAGAAAACAAAAATCCTCACAACTGGACCAATAAGCAAAAATAAATGGAGAACTGATCAAAATTGTCAAGGATTTCATTTTACTTGTTGTTATTGTCATTGAGTCACCCACAGCTCATAGTGACCCTATTTACAACAGCTCTGAGCCCTGCCCTATCCTGAGCCAGTCTCATTGACTCAGATACAGCCACCCTTATTATTCCATTTACCATGTCAATCCAAGTCATCTGGGTTCTTCTCCTGCACTGTCCCTCTGCCCTTTCAAGCGTGATGTTTTTCTCCAAGGAAAGGTTCTTCCTGACCATGTGAGATGCATCTTCAAAATCCTTACTTCTATGGAGAAACTCGGTTTTCACCTTCTCCTAAACAGACCTATTTGTTCTGGCAGTGTATGGTATATTCAATACTCTTCTCCAGCACCACTACTAAAAGACGTCAATCCTTCTTCTTTCATTGTCCAGCTCTCTAATGTATAGCAAGTAATTGTGAAGACCATGGCCTGGATCATACACACTTTAGTCTCTAGGCTGACAAAATTTCTCTTTAGCATTTTGGAGTTTCCTGACAGTAGACTTCCTTAATGTAATTTGTCTTTTTATTTCCTGACTGCTGGGGCCAAGCAAGCTGAAATTATCAACAACTTCAGTCTCTTCTCCATCCATCATGGTGCTGCAAGTTGGCCCAGTGGTAAGAAACTTTGTCTTCTTTATATTGAGCTTGTTATTGTTGTTGTTGTTATGTGCCATCGAGTCGCTTGCGACTCATAGTGACCCTATGTACAAGAGCTCTAAATGCTGTTCTATCCTGTGCCAACCTAGCCATCTCAAACGCACTTATTCCCACCGCTCCAGTCACAGAATCAATCCATCTTACCAAAGGTATTTCTCTCCTTTGCTTCCCCTC